AAATAAATATCTTTAATATTTTATTTTGATATAACAGGTGTAATGTAGTGTCCGCAACACAAGGTCTCGCCCAAAATTTGACTTCACATAACTTTTTCATAAGAACGCTTATATAAAAAAAATTTGGGACTCACGTGCAGAGGTATTGTACTTTCTAGAAAACACGTCAATAACGTGCTGTATGACTTGTTATATTTTTGGTCCAAGTGCAACACAATTAGCACGAATACTGTGAAAATGGCGAATGTATAAAATATATATATGGATTTCTTATTTTAAAGATACAAACACGGATTTAACATTCCGCCCGAGGGATCTGAAAACAACTAGGCTACACATGCTAAATGGCCGACAAATTAACCTCTTCGGAACTAAATATCTTTTTAAAATTGTCCCCTCATAAAATTTATATAAATGGTTTTTCAAAGTAAAGTGGGGATAAGAAAAAATAATTGACAAATACCCGAAAAACTTCGACAAGCAAATAAACAAGAGGCCCATGGGCCACAACGCTCACCTGAATAACTTTGTCCCTGCTGTTCTTCACCTGATTTCCTACGTTGTTATACCTTTTGTGGCCTCGCCCTACATCCCCCCCCCCTCCCCCGTGGTCATGATATGAACAATTTAGAATCTACACTAACCACCAGGATGCTTCCACATAAGTTTCAGCTTTTCTGGCCCAGTGGTTCTTCAGAAGCAGATTTTTAAAGATTTTTACTACATATTTCAATGTAAAACTTGAATTCCCTATTGTGGCCCCGCCCTACCCCCAGGGGTCATGATTTTAACAATTTAGAATACACACTACACCAGGATGCTTCCACATAAGTTTCAGCTTTTCTGAGAAGAAGAATTTTGAAGATATTAATTTTCTATGTAAAACTTTGATTCCCTATTGTGGCCCCACCCTACCCGCGGGGGTCATGATTTGACAGACGGACGGACGGACGACGGACAACGGGTGATCAGAAAAGCTCACTTGAGCTTTCAGCTCAGGTGAGCTAATAAAAATACCAAAATCGAAAAACGCATTGGAAAGGGGGTCCAACTCTACTAAATTAAAAAAGAAATATTTCATCAATCTGCAACAAAAGTGTACATCGCCATTTAGTTACAATTCCCAAACTTTAATAACAACACAATATTCTCAACAATGTGAATGGGCAGAGCCCCCCCCCCCCTCCCCAATGATGTGCCTGTATAACATAAAATTTTAAAGAATCCCGAAAATTTTTAAATAATGAAACAGATTGAGGATGATTTATGATTATGTCACGAATTATAGGTCCCATTTTCATGCATGAAAAAGAAATTTCTTGCATATATTTCCAATATATTTCTATTCATACTTTTATATTTCAACGAATGAGGCTTTAGTCACCAAGCACCATTTTTATCAAATAGCGGGGTTTCCTAATGTTATTGGGGCCATCGATGGCACTCTAATACCCATTATGGCTCCCAAAGAAAACGAGCCTGAATATGTGTGTCGAAAAGGCTTTCATGCCATGAACGTGCAAGTGGTGGCGGATGCCTCTCTAAGGTTCGTGCAAGAAAAACGCTACAACTGTACTTAAATGTATTTATTTAAAATTGACACTAATTTATTCAAATTTTTTTTTCATTTACCCTTCATCGCATTATTATTATTATTTTTTTGTATCATTTTAAAACTTTCTTTGGTAACCTAAAACAGACTGTAGGTCACCTGTAATTAATTTCTTTTGTTCTCTCCCTCCCCTTACCTGTACACCATTCCCATCTAGCCAAAACCAGTCACCTGTAACAATTTCAGAATTTTGGCGAAGTCGGAAGACACCATCTAAATAGCATTTATCTTGTAAAAACCGAGTGTCAATATCAGTTCATATAGATAATTCATATTGTTAATATACTGTTTACATGTATTCAATGAATTCCAATGTTTGTATTACATAAATAGTTGATGCATGATGATGATTATTAATTTCTTATCGTTAGGTTCACAAACATTGTTTGTAAATGGCCGGGATCAGTCCATGATTCCTTCATATTTGCAAATTCCGAAATGAAAGACCACATGGAAACACGGTAATTGAAATTGAAATTTACCAAATTTAGAAGAAACAAAGCAGGGGTGCAAGCACTACTTGGGTAGAGGGTTGCATACAGTATGTACGTGTATGTAATTAAAAAGTGGGGAGGGCTTGTTATAACGGGTTGTTACATTCCTGGAAAAGCTCTTTTATTTGTTTTTAATTATTTGTTTTCTGATATATTTGTCACAGAAATGATGGCTGGCTTCTTGGGGACTCAGCCTACGCCCTTAAGAAATATATGATGACACCCAAGTCCAATCCATCTAGTGTGGGAGAAGAGAATTATAATGCTGCACACAGTCGCACACGAGTAGTAGTTGAGAGGGCTCTGGCCGTCTGCAAATCCCGGTTTAGGTATATTTCTATATATAAATACACACACACACACACACACCCTAATACACACAGAGACTTTGCTTCAAATATGACAATATTAAAATAATATACTTTATTTATAACAACATTATCATGAACATCATCATATATCGATTGTACCATGAAACAACAATAATAATAACATAACAAGGACTAGTAACACATTAATTCTTACTAAAACAAAAGAAAATGATGCTTAAAAATTGCATTTTTCTATAGATGCGTACACAAATCTGGTGGAATGCTACTCTTCTCCCCACAGAAGAGTGTTCAGATCATAACTGCAGTTGCTAAGTTGCACAACATGTGCCTTGACATGAAGGTACCTTTGATGGAATATGAAGAAGCCGTCAATATGCATGACCCTGGGGTTCATCAACAAGCCCAAGATGCAAATGCAGACCAAACTGGACAGGCAATTCGACAGAGATTAATTCAGAGATTTGCTATGAATTGATCTGGATAATCTTTTACATGCTTACAGAAGCTATTTTCCCCCCTTTAAATTTAAAACTAGGCTAGTGACTAGTGAGGATAGTCAGCTTAATACTGGATTTTTCAAATTTCTTCAAAATTTAATACAAGTCAAAAGTATCCATATTCCTTACAAGTTTGATTTTATTATTAATAAGTAGAACTAAGTCAAAATTTTAAAGGACGTTAAGAATTTCACAATACATGTATTAACAAGAGGACCATGGGTCACAATCCTCCATTGAGTGACTTTGGCCTGGCATGGCTGTATTTTTTTTTTTTGCCTACTTTTGCCCAACCTTACCCTGGGGTCAATATTTGAACAAATTTAAATCTAAAATTCCAGACGATGATTCCATACAAATATAAATCATTGCTTTGCTATTATTATTCAGAAAAATAATCTCTGGGTTTTTTTCTCTCTTAAATATTCCTATGTAAAAATTTGCCTACTGATGACAACTTTATAATAATGGTTTGAAGAATCATTGACAGGTCAAACATATTTGATATATTTGTCAATTCATATCAATGGCTTTATGTTTACAACTAATCTATAGTTGAAAGTTGTACAGATACAGGTTGACTTTATACACACTTCTGTAATATGTATTTAAATCATTATTTATAACAAATTATGCTCACACTATTTCATATTATGTAACCTGTCATCAAAAATTGTATAATCATATCTAATATGTGGATCGCATAGCAAGCTTAATACATGTATATACTTTATCATTCTGATATGCTCAACTACATATTACACTACAAATGGACTCTGTTTTCAAAACATATGCTATTTAATTTACACATCCTTGATATGTACTGGTATGCTATCTTACTTAATCAATTTGTTTAAAATTTCTTTTAATGCATACTGAGTATGTAATAGACATTTTTCAGATATTTCATATAAATTTAATGTTTCTCACATATTGAAAAGAATTCATTTCTGGAGATTTTTCTTCATAATAATCAAATTCTAGGTAATATAACATGTACATTTTAACAATGTGCTTTTTGATTACAATGTAGCTAAAAACAATTAGTTTATATCATATTTATAACCTGTATTGCTAAGTTACATCACAGTATGCCTTGTATCATCAGCATATTAATTTGCTTGACAAGATATTTAAATTTTGTACATTTTTTTTCATTATGCTTCTGTGACATATTTCCGAGTCTTAAGATATCAATACAATAATTGCACCCTACATTGCTGTTGTTATTGCACAAACATCACGTAACAATGTGAATAACTTTAACAATATAAAACAAAGAGCTAAAACTGAACATGTGTAAAAATAGTTTTTGCAACAAATGTAAAATTTCTTTTCTGATTTAATACAGTGCTTTTGTCTAAAGTAACATTAAATAAAAAATCAATGAGTCATCTGCTAAACGTTTGTTGTATTGTCTTGCTAGTTAATTTTTCACATACAGTTACTATAAATATGAAAAATGCTTCAAACTTGTATATTATAACAATGTGAAGACCTAAAAAAATGCAGGTGAAGAGAAAACAGATATTAGAATTTGAATTGTTTAAAAAAAATATGGGAAAAATTGGAGGGGGGGGGCTTAAATTTAAACTACCTCAGGATGCTTCCATATCAATATTACTAATCATGGCTTTGCTGTTCTTAAACAGATTTTTTTTTAGATTTTTTCTCTATGTATTCCTATGTAAAACTATGATAGCTCATTGTGGCCCCACTCTACCCACCTTAAATTTAAACAAATTTGAAGCTACACTATCTGAGAATGCTTCTATAATAATATGACTAATCATGGCTCTGCTGTTCTCAAGAAAAAAATTTTCAAAGACATTTCCTATATATTCCTATGTTAAACTTCAACCCCCTCTTATGGCCCCGCCCTACCCCGGGGGTTATGATATGAACAAACTTGAATCTAGAGAATGTAATGAAGCATTTATATAAGTTTCATTTTCTCTTGGCCAGTGGTTAATGAGAAGAAGTCGAAATTGTGAAAATGTGAAAAGTTTACAGACGACAGATGACGGATGACAGACAGACACCGGACACTCTTTGATCAATAAAGTCATAAGTTGACAAGGCCTTTAATCACTGGAGAAACTGAAGGCGAAATGTCCTGTTGCTTTCTCCAGGTAACATAGTCTTCAAGGATGCTCATCTTTTTCTTTTCAATGGCAAGATGTTCCTTCATTATTTTTAGTTTTTCTTCTTCAATGTCCAAAAGTCTATCCTTCACAGCAGCTGAAATCATATTTTCAAAATTTTTAACACAAGAAAGAAAATAACAAGTTCCTAATTAATCAAAGCATGGCCCCTGGACTAGTAATGAGATCACAGAAGGGGTCCAAAATTTTACATACATGTATACGGATATACATGTTTATGGAGAAAATTATTTTAAAATCTCCTTCTCCAGAACCTACCGTGCCGATTATAACCAAACTTGATACAAAGTATTCTGATGTGTAGGAGAAGCTAATTTGTTAAATACAAGTTCATATCCCTTTTAAGGGGAAATAACTATAAAAAAAAGTAAGAATACAGCAATGTCCAGAATCAGAGCCAGTTATAAGCTAACTTGGGCACAGACTATCCTTATAAGGAAAAGAATTCTTTTTGATTGATTTTTAAGATATTACAAAAGTATCAAAGGAATAACTGTTTTCTAGTTTGTTATTTGTGGCCAATTTAATGATCGGAAACTGAGTTTTATCAACAATGCACCAGCAAAGCCCATAAAAAAGGATGTTTTATTTCAGTATACAACCCTTGTTGCACTACTTACCTAAAGCTTGAGTCAAATGCAAGCAAAATGTGTATGTATTAATTATTAATAAAAATATTTGACAGATCTACAAAGCTAATTACTTACACACTGTGAAATTTTCTACGTCTCTCTTCTTTTTTTTGTTGATTGGCCTATCCCCTACAAACAAGAGAGCAGATTCAAATACAATGTTACAATGTATAATGCATGTTATGATCTATTAAGTGATATGCAATTAAATGAATGAAGATTTGGATTCATACTGAGTACACAAAGTACAAATAACCATTATCACAGATTATTTCTTATTGTCATTTTCAAATATATACGAGAAATATCATTTTGCAGTTAAGAAACATATTATTTATCACCAAAAGAAAAGAAAGAACACTGAACATCATGCAGGGTACAGTAAAATTTGGTCATAGTGAGGTCCTGGGGACCTGTGAAATTACTTCGCTATATATCCTTAATCCGTTATACGTGTATATGTACATGTATAACATATTCATTTAAGTATATACAGCGATTTCGCAATATATGTTTTCTTTGACTATCGAATACCAGTATGTTCAGGGAAGTATTAAATACAAAACTACCCCCGGGATACAGAAAAATTTTGGTATACAAAAAGTCTATGACCATTCAGTTTGACAAAAAATGTCATTCTCCACAAACTTTAATGGACAACCCTCGTAGACTCCTTTTTACAGTGGCTATTGGTCATATGATATCATCTTAATACATGTATATCAACATTTGTGACATCACAATAGTTTTTGTGAGAAAGTGATGAAATCAAATCTAGTGGATTCATAAAATATGTGTTACCTATGTGATTTACAGGATAAAAAGAATCTCTTATGGTTTGTGGTTTGATATGATTTTCATCCCACTCATTTTGTGCATTTTATCCTAAGGCTAGGGGGTAAAAGTACACAACTCATTGGAGATTCTGTAGATAGTAATATGTTTATTACTACTGTCAAAATGAGGTTGGGGTTTTAAATAAACTTACCATTTGCACATGTGGACATAATTTCTGATACATCTTCACCTACACTTTGTAGTGGCTTGTTTATGTCTGTTAGCAATAAAAAAGAAAGAAAAAAACATAAATATTATCGCTATAGAAATATTGCAAGTTACATTAGACTTCATAATTTAATTAATGTGAAAATACTAAACTTCAATTTTATTGTTGTTCCAAACCTCTAACAGGCACATAGTATTGGGAGAGCCCATGGGGCTACCTTTTCCCAAACTTTATATTTTAAGTTAATGTCATATGGAAATGTTCATTAAAAGTTGTCCCCCTCCCCCCACTTTTTTGCAGTATTGTCAAATACTCCCATGTTAAAGTACTCAACTATTCCCCCTTTCCAAAAAATGTTTAAGTTGAACATGATTCATAAAAGGAAAGAATTTTTTTTCCCCTCTTCCCTCGCCTTTATTTCTCCAGCCCTTTGTAAGCCTTATTTAGCCTTCACAGTTCAATGTATTTGCTTTACAGATATCACCTGTGCAGATATTTTCTTGGCTTACTCTTTGTTTTTGATTTACCAGTTCAATAATTAAATTATCCCTCTCTTTCACATCCGACAGTTTAACTAACCAATTGAAGGTGCATCACATCCCTCGAGAGGCTCATCTACAAAATAATTTGTTGCATGTAAATATATGTCACAAGAAACTTAACAGTATGCAATGTGTATTGATATGATAAGTGATTAATTTGAGGGGCTGTTGCTTTAAAACAGAAATAAAATTATATTGAATTAAATTCCGATTTGTTTTAATTGCCCCACATTCATGGAGTGATTTTCCCCACTAATTCAGACACTCTGAATGCCCTCCATAATTACTTGTGTTTAGTCCATTTGTTTTGACTGTGAAAATCTGAGAGACAATGGGAGAATCCTCATTTAGAAAGCCTAGGACACAGTTATATACAATGTGGACAATGTTTGCTTGCTCAAAATATTATAATTTATAATTTCTTTAAGAAATTAATTCCAATCATACCATATTTTCTTTTTTTAGAACATTCTTGGATGCAATCTGGAATAAAGTAGAACGAGTATTTTTTTATTATTATTATCTTACATTTATAAAAGCTTTTGGCAAATAAAATCTAAAAATATATGTACATATATAAGACTATAAAGTATAAAAATAATATCAAATTGCATTTATATGTTATATTAACATGCATTAAGATGCTTACCATCCATGGGTGAAATCACATTCAGGGATTCATATCCCCCCTCCACTCCAGATATGATATCATTAGAAAGCACAGCAACAATCTGCAAAATATTGATTTCATGTAGAACATTTGGACAGCATTAAAACAATTCTTTATATTTTCTTTCTCAGCATGCTTAATGTATATTGAATACAATTTTTATTGATAAAAAGATTGATTGTAATCATCTAAAATTATTGGAATTCATCATTGTTCATGACTCACCTTTTCCTCCCAAGGCTTAAGTTCTGGAGGAGGTGGCCCTCCACCAGTTTTCTTCATTTCAGATTTCCTATTTAAAAGAGAAAAAAAGGTACTATCTAAATATAGGATCTCCCATGATTTGTAGTTGGATTGATTTTTATCCAACGAGTTGTGTGTTTTTTATCCCCGAGCCTTGGCGGGATAAAGGGGTAAACATGGGATAAATTTCTTTATACCCTTGTAATTTTGTAGATTTAAAAATGAGAATGAATACATGTATCAGACTTCTTTTAAAATACAGGGTTTGTCTGATTGTCCGTGTCCAGTTCATTTTGTTATCTGACTAAGTCAATTTTCACAAGCATTTGTCCGATTGAACAACTACACTTCTTTACCATTATGGACGAGTGTAAATAAATCTTTTTTTTTTTTAAATAGATAAATAATTTGCATTCGGACAAGTAGCATTTGCAGGCAACTTGTCCAATGGACATTTTGTTTAGCCATGAAATAATTCCAAGAACTTGATATACATTATTTTACATTTATTAATATTTACATCAATTAATCATGTTCTTACAATGCAAAAAACTTAAAAAAATAATCTCAATAAAAAAATCATGACCAGACGTTTTAAAATAAACCCTGTGTTTATGACATATTGTTATATGTTTTTACAGTATACCTGTTGGCCGCCTTCTTCTTTGTGTGACTCTGTATATCTTGCCACTTTTTCTTAACGTCTTTGACACTGCGGACGCAGGAAGAGCAAGAATTGACTCTAAGTGAAAATATCATGAATTGATTAATCCTTTGATTAAATTTGCCAAACAAAAAATTCTGTGAAGTATCTTACTATCAGAACAGGTCTGTGTCATCTGAATTTTAATAGAATTTGGTAAATGGTTCGATAAATGTTATTCATCCTCGGTGGAACTGACCATAAGAAATATTCATATTCAATTTCTGTAGCATTAGGCCTAGTATTCTATGTTTATAAATGAGAAATGAGAGCAACATTTTTCAATACTGATAGCTGCCTCATAATGATTACATTAATTACCTTTCTGTTATTTCAAACCAAGCTCTCTGCTTGGTCTGGATGGTGAGCGATGGGCCAAATTTTCCACGAATTATGGCCCATCGCTCTGGATCTGTCACCAGATCAACCAAAAGATTGATACTGGCCTCTGACCAGTTCGCTTTTCTCTCCTCCATGGTTGGTTTGTTTACGTTCGTCTGCTTCGTGTCGATTTTACCTCCAGCACTAAAGAGTTCCTAAAGTGCTCGTAACTCGGAAATCGTAAGTGCTACGTCTACGACATGTTTTGTGAAACGCTCGTATACGTTCACGTGAAATAATCGTAAACGTAATCGTAAGTTTACGATCTACGATTTTTAGTGAAACGGTCGCCAGTCCTTAAGAAGTGAAGAAGTGACTATATTCACAACGTCCCTGTGTCACAAAATATTGTGGATCCTGTGTTTAAGTTAGGAACTATAGATCTTTATAGATCTAATAACAAAACAACAACAGCAGAGTTTTGATTCAACGAGTATATAATAATATCCAAACGCAGTTTACATATCAAGTACAAGCTATCTGTGTGTTCACTCACTCTCTCTCTCTCGATCCTTATATATATATACTCTGTCTGACACCTAACGTCATTAGGGCACCCATTAGGCTCCATAGTTAGGGCACCTGTTAGGGCATTAGGCTCCATGATTAGGGCACCCGTTAGTGCATTAGGCTCCAAGTATATAGGGCCGCTGCACCATTGTTAGGTGTCAAGACACCTTATACATTTAGAACATCTGTTATGCGCCATAATTAGGGCGCTGATTAGGCTCCAAGATTAGGACACTAATCAGGCTCCATGGTTAGGGCCTTTCACACAGTAAAAATTCAATTCATCTTTTATTTAAAACAATAAAATATTTACATATTAAAAACAAAAACATTACATAACTTTATATTATTTATATTTGCATATACTTTATTTATATAAATAAATTTTTACTCGGTGTTTTGCTATTGTGTGTAGAAACTCAAAGCGAATTTAACATATTAGACGGACACAAAAAGTGAACTTATCCCTAACTCTTCAGAAATTCCTAGTTCATTCAAGTGCTAGAGTGTTTGCCACGGCATAATTAAGATTACGATTTTTCAAAAAGAAAACAACGGCCTTTTTTCGAAATACGACACTCAAATTTCAGTTTTATATATTAGAAAAAAAGCTTCTGGACAGTCCGACACTGATGGCTAATTTGCCCCATTTTGTGCAAGTGGTGCCGGGTTTTCTTCCTTTAAAATCCTCTGGAATGTGTATGGGGTGGAATGGGTTGATTTTAGAAAGAAAAAAAAATGTCAGGAATTTTTTTTAAAATTACAGTCTTGGAATCTTTGCTTTTAGGAAGGGTATGAAAAAAGACTTTTTTATCTGCTTCTCAAATTTTAAGGGGATTTGAAATACGTGCAGTGTAGGGGTTATTTGAAGTGTCACAGCATGGCTTGTACACTTCGAATTTTCCTGATTTTCCAGGTGAGTTGAGGCAGTGAAATTCTTTAAATTAATTTTTTTGTTATAAAGGAGTACATTATAGCAAAATAATTGGTAGTCTGCGTCCTATGATACACATGTGCGGATCGTGAATTATTATATCGGAATCAAGATCACGGTCTCAGTATTGCAATAAAGTAGACTAGATGTGAATCTATACCATGCTTTTTTTAAATATTTATATTTACTACTCTAAAATTAAAATCAATCTTTTCTTTTATGGACATGGATTTTATCGTATCATATTAATTTTAAAGAATTTTTGAATGAATTTAAATGTTCCTGTATATTTGAAAAACTCCAAACAAGTTTGATCAACGTACTTAAATGAGAAAACGTTTAGATGAAACTATATATGTTCACTATCAAAGTATATAATAATGCATAAATCTTAAAAAAATCCTCTATGAATATATTAGAAATTAATTGATTTACTGTTTAACATAAAATTTATTTTGAAATAAAATAAATAGGGGAAATACGACAGAATATTTTAATCATTTTATAATAGCTATGTGAAGTAATGTAAACGTTATTTTTTCCACGGGGTCACAATTCCATGGAATCGCAAACTCTGTTCATTTCGCGGATATAAAATTATCTGAATTTTGGATTGCCTTTGCACTCTTAAAGATTTTTAAATTTGTACGCTGTGATAAATCTTCACATATAGCGTTATTAATTAATCCCCTTGATTAAAAAATATATATATATATACGTCTACAGTATACTGGAAGGTTGAAGGTTGTATGGAAGGAGAGAGGGAGAGAGAGAGATTATTAAGACCATCCAGAAAATGGAAAAATATGGAAAGAGAATAAAAACGAAAGAAAATTATTGCAAATAGATAGCTATATTTTTTTTTTAAATTTCCAATCAACGTCTGAAGTACGTTACATGTACTCAAGAGATGATATAAAGGACGAATAAAAAATTAACTCTTATTATACTGTGTCACGACGATTCACGAAGAAAATTCACCGTAAGCAAATTTTACTTAACCGAATGTTATAATTAGTTCTACATTGCATCTCTTTTACTTTGTATTAAACTTTTGGTGAAAAGTGTATATAATGTACTACAGAGTTATCTCTCTTGTGTCGTGCGGATAAGAACTGTAATTAGCACGACCGTCGTGCGAATAACGAAAATAATCGGCACGACCGTCGTGCCGATAGACACTTCCTAAGAAAAAAGCTAGTCTATCCAAAAAGAAGTAGTAAATTTGGGTAGATAGCCATATAAAAGTTAATTGCTGTTAATTCAAATTAATTCATTATTAATTAAAATGAAAATTAATACCACACATAACATATCTTGTGAGCGTCAGAAGACTTTTATATCTATACTTAATTACATGCACTTGCATATAGAAATTTTCAAGACATTTTATAAGAAGTCCTATAGTGAAACCGCCGGTTAACTACTGCAGGTTATTACTTTGCACTGTTCGGTGGTTATTTATACATTCATGATCTCTCTATCAATGGCAAAAATGATATTTAGTCATTTATTTTCTTTCTTTTTTACAGTATTGTTTCTAAGTTTTTTCTGAAAAAATTAAGTGTAGGCACGTGCCTTAAGTGCCCAATGGCAGCTACGCCACTGCAAGCAAATCAAAAAAGAAATTAAATGTCACAATAGTAATTAACTTCAAAAATCGATATTAAATGGAATGTCAACAATTTTTATCTTTAATTATTAGAAATAACTGAAACACAAATAAGAGGGATTGCTTCGCTTTCAATATTGCTTTATTATATAACCCCCCCCCCCCCTCACACACACACACACACACACACGCCCGGTGCACCACTGAAACAGCAAAATTTACACAAATGAGTCTCCATAAGTGCTTTTAGTCCATAGCCCCTTCCTGATTTTAGTAACTGAATGTAAAATTAAATGAGACTATGAAATCTTTAAAACCCCCTTCATAAAATTTTCTGATCTACTGAGGATTTGAAGTGACCGTCGGTACAAATCAGCCATAGCGCAAATAGCTACTACACCTTAGAATATAAACAAATTTAGAGTTGTCTGTTCCTGAAGTTATTTACAAAGAACACTTGCAACTATGGAAGAGGAAAAATAGTTCGCCGTGCGTACATCTGGAAACAGGAAATTCAATGATATTCAAATGGATAACTGTGCAAAAACTTTTAATAATTCTGGCGAACAGGTGGTTATTAGGTTAGACTTTCATGAAATACGTTCTAAATTTTAACATATCAGTTCTAAACTCATAATACCGTTTGTGTGCAAGTATGATGCATTGTTAAATTGAGTTACTTTCTAGTACCTCGGAATGGAATCTCGGAGACAGGAAACAGAGGAGGGGTACCTCCGGAAGTTTTTCCCACTGTGTATCGTGGAATTTTTTTTCTTCCTTGCTTACATTATGGGATTCTTTATAGCAATTGAGTATGGGCATGACAAATTTCGTGAATCTCTGTTTCCAAACCAAACTAACTTAAATACAACAGATAAATCACACTGTGAAACGAATACTAGCTCTGAAAGTTATCAAAACGAACAAGAGGTGCAGAGAGTTGTCTCGGAATGGAGTGTGTACATTAACCTTGCACAGGGAATCCCTTTAATTTTTGCATCAATTGTATTTTCTCCACTAAGTGATTCTGTGGGCCGAAAGATTTTCCTTTTTATAGGGGGTGCGGGTGTTTGTATAAAACAGTTTTTGATGACCCTAGCTATTGCATTTGATTGGAATATTTATCTGTTTGTGGCTTTCACATTTATAGAGGGAAGCACTGGTAGTTGGGTGGCTCTGTTGGCCATTACTTTTTCCATAATGTCTGATATATCATCTGGACAGTCTAGATCTTTTCTCATTGCTGCTATAAGCTTTGTGTTTGGAGTGGGTTACTCCGTTGGTAATTTCATACCTGGCTATGCAATCGAAGCTTTAGGCTACACATATGCAATGGCGATGTCAAGCAGTGTATGTTTTGTATCGGTTATTGGTATATGTTTTATGCCAGAGTCCCTGCCTCCTAGTCGCCGCTCAACAGTACAATTTCACTGCCTTACCAACTTAAAAGAGATGCTTCAGTTTTACATTAAAGAGGACAAATCTTTCAGGGATTCTAAGAGATGGAAGTACATAGTGGGTCTTTCAGCATTTGCTTTTATTATGTTGGCAAGACTGGGTGCTTCTTTTGAACTACTTTATCTGATCGATTCACCATTTTGTTTCAATCCAGTCAAACTGAGCTTGTTTGAAACTTTGAAATCTGTATTGTCAGAAATCATTATTTTAGCTGGAATAAAACTGATGCAGCAATGTTTTAGAGATGAAATAATTGCATTCATTGGCACAATTTCGTCTCTAGCTTATTATATCTTATTTGGAATGGCACCATCTGAGAAATACCTTTACATAGGTAAGACCTCGTCTACAGAACAGATTTTTTTTAATGAAAGGTGATGTATACACTCACTATAACAATTATAATTGTCTGGATAATTTTTTTTTCTAGCTGCTGTAGTTGGTGCTATTGGGATGTGCTCCATTCCAATGATCAGAGCAATAATGTCCAAGATGACACCTGTAAACAAACAAGGTAATTTAACACACTGTACCTGAAAGGAAAAGAAAAAGAAACATTCAATAGGCCTAAGAGACCTGTATAACTTTGTTACATTGACTTTGTATCTAGTTTAAGTTTTTGGTTATATAGGTACATTGTTTGGAAGTATAGCAATCATAGAGAACATCTGTAACCTCTCAGGTTCTGTACTTGGAACAGCTCTATATTCTGCAACAGTCTCTTATTATCGAGGAATGGCATATCTAGTGTTAGCTGGATGTATGTCTCTAGCTCTCATTCTACTACTGTAAGTAAAATTATGTAACAACATTTTCTACTTAAATGTAATATTAATAAAGATCATTAAAGAGATGTTAGATGCCATTGGGTTAAAATTCTTCAAATAAAAAATTAATTATAACTTTTTCTTTCTTAACTTTCTGTTACACTTTTTAAACAAATGCCTTTTTTCCTTAATGAATAAGCTCCATTTCAATTGCTGCTTCCTGCATGAAAAATACTACAAAGGTTATATTTCCTATCTTTTAGAATTCTGGTTATTTTCGGTCGTGGAGGAAGAGAGAAATGCGACTATGAACCCATTCCAACAAGTGAAACAGTAAACTGATTTGAATTTTAGCTTTTAAAGGTAACTACAATATAATGATTGGAGGAGTGCATTAATCTATCCACTAAGGACAAGGTATGGTAATGGCCGAATCTGGCCCCTTATTTGATGTAAAAATCAGAACACAGTTAAAATTTGATAGTTTGTAGTTAAGAACTTAAAATGACGTTTGTTTTAAAACCAGCAATAATTTTGATTCAAAGCTTACACGGAGGCCACAAGAGGGTGCAAAAGTTGGACATTTTCCCGAATTTCCTCAATTCTGGTCGAATTTGAGATACTTTTCACGTCGGGAAACATAGAGCACAAGCTTGCCTACCTGAGATTTTTATACATAAGATGCATCTGATACTAGTGTATGAAATATATAAAATTGGTAGATAGGCAAGCTTGTGCTCTATCTTTTCTGAACCAAAATGTGCTGTAAAATGGATGAAAATTTGCATAAAAATGAGAAAATTCGGAAATTGACATATTTTCTGACCTTCCTGTGACCTCTGTGTATCCCATAACTTAGAACTAATACTCATTTTGAGGCAGGGGTGACAACAGGTTTTTAACTGATAAACTGTTGCATCACTCTAAATGACACTCAAACCAGGGGCCAAAAAAGGGGTCTTAGCCTATCTTGTCCTTTGAATTCTTTCCAGGCAGTTGTGACTTCTAAATACACAAGTTACTTTTGACTTGCCTTCCTGTTAGTGCTCAGTATCATTTGAGACTTTGAACAGTATTCTTTATATTTATTGATTTATTCAAACTGAAAAATTAATATCAGGTTGTGTTGACTTTTCATATTGTAAATTAGCAATTTACACCTGGTGTAAATACAAAATGAAAAATAATTTATTTATGAGATTAAGCTGACATTTTTTTTTTTGTTCTACAATGATCGAACCTCTTATTATTTGCTTTGTAAGTTTTGAAAATGAAAAATTCCTAAATTAGAAAAAATTACATTTGTATCAGTGCTATGCTCTGAACTCATAAACTTGTGGCAAGCTCTTTAAATCAATTTCATATTTTTGAGTTTTCCAGAGATTTTTTAAAACACTAAACAAGGACATTTATATTTTATAACCAGAGATTTTTTTCTCATTTTAACAATTTTCTTATCACCAACAAAATAACTAGTGGTTATGAGTGGTAATAATTATACCTTATGTTGTGCATTTTGTGTTTGTTAAACAAATTATTAAATGACTTGAGATCAGATTGTATAATTTATTGTCTATGTATTTATGTCATGCAACTGACTGACTTAATTGTGACCAGCTAAAAAGCTGAAAATTGTGTTACGCTTTAGCTCATCTGAGCTGAAGGCTCAAGTGTGCTTTTCTGATAAAAATTTATCTAATGTCTGTCGTCGTTGTTGTCATCATTGTTGTCATAAACTTTTTACAATTTCATCTTCTTCTCCAGAACCACTGGGCCAATTTCAACCAAATTTGGCAAAAAGTATCCTTGAAAAAATGGATTCAAATTTGTTCAAATGAAGGGTCACACCCTCTTCCAACAGGAGATAATTAAGAAAAAGAGAAAAATTGGGTTAGGTCATTTAACAGTGTTTGAAAATTAAAAATGTGTGTAGTATTTGCAATCATTTATGTATTTAATCTTTTCATTACTAAACTGATTTCTGCTTTTTCCTACCCAATGTGCTCAGGTGAGCGATGTGGCCCCTGGGCCTCTTGTTTTTTGTTGTTTTTTTAAACGAAGGGTCAGAAATATGTTTCAATGAAAATGTAACTCATGAAAATGAAACTCATTCTCAACGTGCAGTAGATCTGTTATTATGGTTCTGATGTTAAATGTTTTTTTTTTTTTTTTTTTTCCGTTTTTGTTTATATTTATTGGTTTTTAGATTTTCTTTTCTTATAAATTGTAATATTTGAATAATTGTATGTTTGTAGATTTTCATTTTTAAAACTATTTTATGAACTGTATTTAATGACAGATATTTAAATTAATTTTGACTGCAATCTGTTTAATTGATAAACCTCACATTTGTATGTACTGGAAATGATTCTAAGAAAAGTCTTACCAAGGGCATTAATGAGCTAACATTTTAGTTAGATTTTACTCATAAGATGAACAATGTTGTAATAGTCACACTTGACATTTTCCCAAATTACTGCTATTGAAATTTTTGAAGTTGTGTCCTTTAAAGGTGGTGGCAACAATATTTTTTTTTTTAATTCTACATATGCATGCATTTATTTGTCAGGAAGAGAAAGATCAACAATGTGATTATTGTAGTCCATGAACCATTTCCTTTTGTTTATTTCAAACACATTAAAAGTCCTAGATGTCTTTTTTTAATGAAATATTTAAAACTGCTCAAGTCTTTAAGTCTGCAAAATTTTAATACCATTTATGGAAAGTGTACATTAATGTTTAAATTAGTGATGTTATGTGCAATTGCCTCATGTTGACTGTGATCAGCTGAAAAGTAAATGATTGTGAAACTTTATTTTTATGCCTCTGATTTAAAAGATTTGGGGGCATATAGTTTTCGGTCTGTATGTCTGTCTTTCTGTTTATCTGTTTGTCCACAAACACTTTAACCTTGGACATTTTTAAATGTTGATGCTCAGGGCTTTCATATTCACTTGTATATTCCTTGTGATAAGACCTTTGTTTGAGTACCGACTTTGGTCTTGACTATAACTTTTGAATTGTTGGTGCTAGGGCTGTCATATTTCATCATATGTGTTTTCCTTGTGACAAGACCTTTCTTTGAGTATCAATATTTTTGATCTTGGTCTTGCATTGGAGTTTGACCTACTTTAAAAAAAAACTTAAACTTTGTCCATAACCTTTGAAGGGTTGGTGCTAGGGCTTTCATATTTCACATGTAATTTTTGTGTCAAGAACTTTCTTTGAGTACCAACATTTTTGACATTGGAGTTTGACCTACATTTGAAAAACTTTAACCTTGGTCTTAACTTTGAATGGTTGATGCCATATTAGGCCTTCATATTTCACTTTTGTATTCCTGTGACAGGCCTATCTTTGAGTACCAATTTTTTTACCTCTTAACCTTAACCTTGGAGATTGACCCACTTTTATTTATCTTTGGCCATAACTTTTGAACGGTTGGTATTAGGGCTCTCAGATTGCACTTGGATATTTTTATTACAAGACCTTTCTTTGGCTATGAACATCTTTGACCCCATGACCTTGACTTACTTTTGAAAAAGCTGCCATACTGGGGCATCAGTGTTTCACAAATATATCTTGTGTTTTTACTTTTTTCTTCGTAAGGATCAGAAATGTGTTTCAATCTAATGCAATTCATTTTAAACAAATTAAACATGTAGATCTGTTTTTATGAATTTAGGTGGTGTATCTTTTATATATACCACACTCTTTTGTTTTGATATTCATTGTTATATATTTTCTTGTCTTGAAAGTTATTTTAATTCAGAATAAACATATTTATACGGACCATATTTTTTAAAAATTATTTTCAGGATTCATCCACCATACAATAAAAATAAAAAAGATATAAAGATTTCTTTAGTGAAGACATTGAATTATTCTTTCAAAATGTTCGAAAATTTGAAAGCTACAATTATATATAAAATTATATAGAGAGAGATAGAGATGATAGATAGATAGATAGTGTATTCTAAGAGTAACAATGAACCAAGAGTGAAGAGGTCAACACTTTGGCCAGGTTTCCGTAGGGTACATAAGACAAATTTAGAGCAGCACTTTTCAGCAATATTTTAATTGGTGTAAAATTTAATTTACAAACAAATTATTCTTTTCAGGAACAGAGAACTTAAATTTTTCAATTTTGTTAGCCTGTGCCTAAGTATCTTATCAATAGTAAGAGGCATTCTGTAAATAATTTGGTAAGGACCCTCTCTACACCAGTGCAAAATGTTTTTTGGACATCGAGAAAAATATATTGTATAAAGATGTTAATATTGAGCTTATCTATTTAATTTTCACTATATGGTACGTGGCATTTGCCCCCAGGAAAAATGTTCAAACACAACACAGTATCAGTGAATAGAAATCACTGCTGTTTACTTCCATAAAGACAATACATGTAAATAACATGTTTAATTTATTTATCTTGGCCTTTTAAAATGTTAAGAATACTTGAATTAATTACAAATTGAGTAATACACTGTAAATTTCTTTTTCTTAGAATATAGATCTAAGGGCAGATCACTCTAACTGCTTAAACATAGATTGTGCAGTTGTAATGAGTCATGCTGCCTTTATCCTGGTGTTGTATAGTGAGACTTCCCCGGGAGAGGGGCGGGGGGTCACTATAGAGTCAAGTCTTCCATGCAAGGGGGTGTCATTATGTAGCCACCTAGGCAGATATTGTCGGGACAGCTCGACGGACGGACGACGGACACCTTACTATCGCATAAGCTCTTCTGGTCTCTGACCAGTAGAGCTAAAAACCACAGAATTGGAACTCTTTAGTGTATAGTGTACGGAGGGTCCTTGAAGCATGATAGGTTGTTTTGATAGATGTAAAACGACCAGCTGGACTAAAAATAAATTAAAACATTTACTTGTCGCATAAATCTACAAACAATAATATATTTGTTTTCTCTTTCCTGGCATACTCAGTGGTAAATATATATTCCATAGGTTATGTTCTAAATCCATGACACTGGTCGGTAAGAGTGTAGATAAAAAAGAAGGTAGCCTTGCACGTTTTTCATGTCAGTGACAGAACTTTATTTCTTAAATCTACTTTTAGTCCCAACAATATTCATCAGATATCAATTTGTATAAGTTGTTTTGTTAAGAAGATATTTCTTCAAGTTGATAGTGAATTTTCGGTGAGACGGATAAGTTGGAGCATCGAGTTGTGATGAAGTATTTTCACAAAAAGGTAAGATTTATAGCGATATAAAACTCACAGATGTGGAATATCTTGCATATTCCACTGTAAAGAAATGGACTTGTTAGAACTAGCACTGACAGTGTGACAATGTTCCAATGTCTGTCTGTCCGTCTGTAAACAATTTTTCAAAACGCTACTTTTTCTATAGTTTTAGTCCGATTTCAATATAACTTGGCACACAAGTAGACAACACTAAGATACATAAGTCAGTATATCCGTTTTTGATTTCAATGAACGATGTTGCCATGGTTACTAAAAAAAAATAGAAATTTCTGGGAAGTACTTTCAAAATGCAACTCCTCCTACAGTTTTGGTCTGATCTCAATATAACTTAGCACACAAGTAGACTACACTAAGATACATAATTCTATATATCAATTTTTGATTTCGATGAATGGTGTTGCCATGGTTACTAAAAATAGAAATTTCTGTGAAACTCTTTCAAAACCCTACTCCTCCTACAGTTTTGGTCTGATTTCGGTATAACTTGGCACACAAGAAGACTACACTAAGATACATAATTCTGTATATCGGTTTTTGATTTCGATGAATGTTGTTGCCATGGTTACTAAAATAGAAATTTCCTTGAAATACTTTCAAAATGCTACTCCTCCTACAGTTTTGATCTGATTTCAGTATAACTTGGCACACTAAGATACATAATTGTCTTTATTGTTTTTGATTTTGTTGAATGATGTTGCCATGGTTACTAAAATCGAAATTTCTGTAAAGTTCTTTTAAAAGGCTGCTCCTTCTACAGTTTTAGTCTGATTGCAATAAATCTTGCCACAAAAAGAGACTAAACCAAGGATCATTATTCTATTTATTGCTGTTGCAAAGTTTCAAGTCCAAGTGCTACTTTTTTCTTCCTTTGGTATAAGTACAAACCAGTAGAGCTACAGTCTTGTCAGAGACTTCTGTTTATAAAGTTATAGTAATCCACCCTTCGATCTAAAATAAATTGAAATCCACAGTATATTACTCAATTTGTAATCAGTTAAAGCATCTTTAAAATTTTATTAGGCAAACAAATTCATTTCCCTATTCAAGTAAACAACAGTGTTATTTTTGTTTTGAAAATTTCGTTGTCTTTAAACATTTTTTCAAGGAGGTAAATGACTGATATCCTATGTTGGAAGTGAAGTGAATAAACTCAACATTTACACCTTTATACAAAGAAATAAACTCAACATTTACACCTTTATACGTCATAATTTTCTTAATGTCCAAAAATAGACTGTCCCTTACCACCACTGTTTGCTGTAATGATTAAATATTCCATATGTTTATTCAAGTGTTAATTACTGTCCCAAACCCAGGGGCTTCCTGGAACTTTACCCCTTGGGCCACAACAGGGCTTCAGTCTGGACCCACGGAGGACCTTAAAGCGGCCTCCGACCTTCTGCCTGAAAAAGGATCTTAGACAAGATCAAGCTTTGTACTCTAGTGCTTGTCGATGATAGGACTTTATCTCAAAAGGGAGGGTAAGTGGACAAAAGCGTGGAGGGACAGCAAAAGGTCATAACAATGTTTGCTGCAATCAGGAAATAGTAAGAATTAAGCAAATGTTTGAATGGAACTTGATAAAAATTAAAAAAAATATATATATATACGGCATTCTGCTTGCTTTAATTGATATACGTCTGACTACATCAACTTTTGGTGGTATGAATTGGGCTTTTCATGAAGTTTATAAGACCAGGTGAATTGCGTATTGCTTTTAAAACATCTGTATTTCTCTTGCCAACATGGCAAATGGAACTTTTACAAGCCACGAATTTATCTTGCACAAAAATAATACAGTAAACTTTTGTATAAGCTATTAAAAATGTTTAATTTTTGTAACTTTAACTTGAAGTCTATATTCAAGAATCAATTGATTACTTGCAATGAATATCAAGGGAAAATCATGTCCTCAAGTATTATGCTTTAAAAAAATCTACTAAGGACTCAATTTAATGTATTTTAAAAAAATAAAATAACACGTACTTTATGATTAGTTTTCCGTTGTGAGACAGAGTTTTACTTTGTTGTACTTTAAGATAATAAAACAATTATCTGGATATCATAATTCAGACATACATCATTACATCCGTTATCGGCTGTCCGAAAAATGACCAAAGGACAGGTCATTTTGACAAACATCCCATTTAAATCAACAGACACCTTGATAAAGCACCTAAATTTGATATTGCACACTGTATATTTTTGTAGTTAGAGCATGTTCACTTTTTTAAGAAAATGACGAAAGAATCCGACACCAGAGAAGGCTATCTAAGAGTTTTTATTTTGTTATGTGCTGCGGACTTTTGTTTGTTTTTCTCCTATGTGTTAGGTTTAGACACTGCTAACGAGTACGGACGCGACACATTCCGGGATCTAAAATTTCCTAACATTAGTCTCTTCAATTCCAGTGACGACTCTTTTTGTGATACTAATACCTCGTCACAAAGATATCAGGAAAGGAAAATTGTTCAGAAGTTAGTGTCTGAATGGGATGTGTACATATCAATAACCCAGGGAGTTCCGCTCATTCTTTCCAGTATGTTGTTCTCACCGTTGAGCGATTCGATTGGACGAAGGCCATTTCTTTTCGTTGGATCGTTTGGTGTTTGTATTAAGCAACTTCTCATGACCTTGGCCATCATTTTTCAATGGGATCTTTATCTTTTCATACCATTTGCATTGGTAGAAGGTTTCAGTGGTAGCTGGTTTGCTCAACTAGCCATTGCTATGACCGTTGTTTCTGACCTTACGAAAGCAGGAAAGTCCAGATCCTATTTAATCGCTGTGTTCAGCTTTATGTACAGTGTTGGATTTTCTTTGGGGACATTTAGTTCTGCCTATGTGATTGCGTATTGGGGATACGAATATTCCATGGCAATATCCTGTGGGATGTCGGCCTCAGCATTCATGATCACATGCTTTATTCCGGAAACATTGCTCAAATCGCAAAGAAAGAAAACTAACTTAAGTTGCATTGGGAATTTTAAAGAGATTTTAAAACTATATTTTAAAGAAGACCCGAATTATCCAGAGTTGACAAGGCGGAAATATCTGACTGCTCTCTCTTCGTTTATGTTCATAATGTTGGCCAAGCACGGTGCATTTGCTATAGAATCATTATATATCAGAGATTCTCCATTTTGCTTCAACCCCAAAACAGTCAGTTTATTTGAAACATCGAAAACCATCTTTTCAGAGATAGGGATTTTAATTGTTATAAAGCTATTGCATAGATGCATCTCAGATGAAAGTATTGCCTTTATTGGGGCTATTTCAGACATGTGCTGCTTCGTTTTATTTGGAACAGCTTCTTCGAAAAAGGATGTATATACAGGTTAGTAGGATGAGAAAAAGGATGTATATACAGGTTAGTAGGATGAGAAAAAGGGTGTATATACAGGTTAGTAGGATGAGAAAAAGGATGTATATACAGGTTAGTAGGATGAGAAAAAGGATGTATATACAGGTTAGTAGGATGAGAAAAAGGGTGTATATACAGGTTAGTAGGATGAGAAAAAGGGTGTATATACAGGTTAGTAGGATGAGAAAAAGGGTGT